CGGCGGCGAGGCCGGCGGGGCCGGGCGGGCCGGTCCGCTGAGGGCGGCATCGGCTCCTCCGGGGCCCGCGGCACCGCGGCGACCTGCGCGGCCATTTCAGGGGCTCCCTCACACACATTTAAATGGCCCGAGCGCCGGGCGTCGCCACGCACGCGCAGCCGCGGGGCACCGTGGGACGTGTAGTTCAGGGGCGGCGGGCGCGTGCGCGCGGCGCAGGTCACGTGGGCGGGAAAGCGCTGAGGTAGCGCGGGTCCGGGGAGTGGAGAGGGGTGAAAAAATTTTTGTTTTAGTGGTGTTTGTCGCTTGTTCTTAAGTACTTAACCCATTAAACACCGACCGCGGTATGCTGCGGACGCTATCCCCGTGAGGCAGATGATGTGGAGCTGTTGGAGAGAGCCTAAGGAGGCCACCCCTGCCCATGGCAGTGGGATGGAGTAAAATCATTGAATCAGAATGTTGAAGGTTGGGAGGGAACTTCAAAAGCTCGTTTCACCCTCTGCCATGGGCTAGGGCACCTTCCACTACACCAGGTTGCTCCAAACCGCGTCCAGCCTGCGAGAAACAGGAATATAATTTGGGTAAAGGCTTTCACTGGTTTCTGCTGTTAAGAAAACACATGACTACAGTAATAAAAAAGGCAGTATTGGGTACTCCCTCATTTTTAAGCCAGCTGAGTTTTCCATTCCAGCTGTGGTCAGCAGATTGTTCTTGACCAAATTCCCCAAATCCCACTTTGATGGAATCTGGTGAGAAATCTTGTATTTCCTGTTCCCACCTGAAATTCTGTGCTGGAAAATAACAAATCCTTAAAAACAACATTGTTTTTAAAATACAATAATATTTTGCTTGCTGTCGTGGTGTTTTGGGATTTTTTTTCCCCCAGGTAGAAGAGCAGCTGGGTCAACCAGTTGTAAGGTACTTACACTGGTTTCGTTTCTATGGGATCAATCACCATCCTAAGTATTATTGCCCCAAAATCCAGACAAATGCTCTGATTTGCTCAGATGGGGAAAAAAGGTTCTTATTTCTAAAATCTGGGATGCTAATTCCCTCTTATTCCAAGTAATGTAAACATTTCAGTGTCTTTGATTACAGTACACATAAAAATGTGAGAGAGGGTCTTGATCCGCCTTGCTCTGCTCCGTTGGCTTTCCAGATCATTCCATAGTTGTCACTGGGTCCCATCATCGGTTTATGCTCAAATCCATCCTTTTGAAGTGATTACATTCCAAAACATGACAAAAATATGTCTCTCCCTAGGATAAAACTTGTATTCCAAAACTTGTATACCTTCCATCCCATTGTGAATTAACTGAAAGTGGCTGGTACTTTTACATTTTTGACTTTAAAACTCCAGTTTTAAATTCAGTGAATGTGCAAGTAGTGCCTGAGATGCCAATACTGTGTAACAGTTTTGGATGTGTTTATTTTGGTGGAAGCTTCACTGGGATGGGCATTCTAAGAATTTCAGGATGACTTCACAAATCTGCAACACCAAGTCTATAGAATACATCTAAATATTCCATGCTGGGGGTGGATTTCTTGGTCCTTTAGGTTTTGAAAATCGATTTGCAAAGCCTAGGAAGAAATTATATATATTTTTAATGCAACAAATTCTGTATGTTACAGATGCTGATTATGTAATCTCTTAAAATAACACAGGAATTGAAAATACTTGTAATTTAAGATCTTACTTGTAATTTAAGATCTTTCCCAAGCTTTAAGATATGACAGAAAAGCAACATCCTGTCGTTGCAAATAAAGTTGTAAATGTGTAAAAACTAAATATGTAAAACCCAGTGAGCATTACTTGAAATATTTGTAGTTTGTAAGTGTTCTGCCTGGCATTTAGACTCCCAAGAACCAGGTTCTTCCTACCAAAACACAAAAAGAAAAACATACCAAAGTTAAGGAAAGACCTCGGAGAGTTTGTCGGGGCAGGTTCTGATGATTTTGTCAGTGAAGATGGACTGCAGATGCCTAGAAATAAAAAATGAGACTGGAGCTGTTGGTCACTGGTAATTCCAGAGCTGAACTTGTGGAATCATGGAATTCTTTAGGCTGGAAAAGGGCTCTAAGATCAAGTCCAATCATTAAACCAGCACCAAGCCCTGTCCAACCTGGCCTTGGACACTGCCAGGGATCCAGGGGCAGCCACAGCTTCTAAGGGCACCCTGCCAGGGCCTCTCCACCCTCACAGGGGAAATTTCCTCCTTCCTTAATTTGTGCAATCCCATATTTACAGGGAGTGGATTTACTACTGCAGCAAGACCTGCTGAGAAAACATTTGCTCAGAAGTACTTTAAACCATTTTTAGCAGTCCTGTTTTCAAGATGAGCATTTTAATTTTAGTTGAAAGGAATTTGAGTGAGAGATTCCTTATTTATGCTCCAAATAGCCTGGTCAGAATCTCAGCTGGGGCTCACATACTCCCAGCACCCAAATCTCCCATTTGTAGAGTCCTGCAACACAGGTTTGAATGACCTGAAGAATTTGATAATTTGTCCCCAAAGGGCTGCACAGCATCCTTATGACATTCCTACAACATCTACAGCTCTCCAGGTGAGAAGGTGCTCAGCTGCACAGCTCTGTGTGTCCCACTCCAAACTGCAGGGAATTTCACATTGGAAAAGTTCAGGTGCTTGGTATTTCCATCCCACACATTTAAATACTTGCTTAAATCTGTTTGAAAGATATTAGCCTGAATGACTTACTTTTTCGCACGTTTTTCAATATTTTCAAGCTCTGTAAAAAAAAAAAAAGAAAAAGGCTAGCTGGAAAAAATGTATGAAGCAGTGGATCAGCTACTGTAGTAAAGGGAATTTGTGCACATGTATAAAAGCACTGATAAATGTACATGTATAAATCGATCAGCTACTGTGGGAATTCACTGGCAAATGCACAAGTATCACATTTCATAAAAAGCAAACTTTGTGCCACTCTCTTTGGCTTTTCCCTTGTCATCCCAAATGCTTCCAGTTTTTATTTTCCTTGCTGTTTTCCTCAAGCACTTTTCTGTTCCACTGTAACAGTACAATCTCACGAGAATAATTAACAGGAGGCTCAACAAGAGGAGTCTGGCCATGGTTCTGTTCTTGTAGGACAGACTCAGACTCCACTGGAGCAACTTTTTCCCAGCAGAACTGGCACTGCAGGCGGGTGGAATGCCAAGGCACAACCACTGGCAGGGCTGGCCTACCCTGTTCCCAGTGCAGACAGGGTTGGTGTTTGCAGTTGTACACCGGAAGATTTTTATTACTCTTGTTTTCTTGCCCTAAACACAAGCGCTATCAAAGCAGGCCCTGTTCCCCCAGTGACCAGTGAGAGAGCAGCACCGGCTGGGCCAGAGCTCTTCTCTCTCCTTCTAACGGTTTCCACACCTCTTGTTTCTTTTACCTTGCTCCTCCTGAAGCATTTCATGAGTTCTTTGGATGATGTTTCTGAGCCCTTGTTCTCCAAACCCGCAGGAGTCGAGGAGTTTCTTGCAGCAGGCTGCAGACCTGGGAACATACATCATGCGTATGTTTTCAGTGGTCATTCACAAATCCTCCTGCTTTTTTCCTAGTGCTTTGGTGTTGCTTTTCATCTCCTCTAATGCAGCACTTCCAGAAATTTTCTGCAGGTTCCCTACTTGTGTTTATTTTCGTTGTGTTTGCTGAACTGTCCTGCAGGGAAGTGCTGAAGCACTACCTGGTAATGCTTTGAACAAAGTGGGCCACACTCTCAGAGACGTACAGCTTTAGGTGTGAGTGTAAAACCTCAGTTACATCCTGAAAAAAGAGCTCAGCACTTACTTGCTGCCTCAGCGAGAACGAACGACTCCGGGGTTCTTTCAGGAAGCGGAGGAGGAGAATTAGAGGGATCCTGGGTTGTCTCTGAGAAAGCAAAGATAAAAGAGTTGGTTACCTAGCTTTAAAATAAAACAAACAAACAAACAAACAAATATATATATTAGAAGCAACCAGTTTATCTCAGTTGTCTCAAAGGAGACACACAACATGCAGACAAAGAGGAGGCTGCAAGGAACATCCTCATGTACAGGATGAGGCAGAAGCAGATAAAACACCAGTTAATTTGGTTGCAGAAGTGTCTGCTTCTGGTTAGAACTATTTAGCTGCAGAACTATTTAGCAACAATTTAGCAACAACTATTTAGCATTTCCTTTGCACTGAGCACAGATCCTAAACAGATTCACTAAATAAAGCAGTTTTAGAAAAAAAAGCAGGTCTTAATTCCAAAGATTGTCCCAGTGTTAAACTTATACCTGTTTGTGGGCTCCAAAGCTTCACACTCTGGAAACAAAAAACAAGGCAGGTATTTAAAATTCACACATCCAAATGTTATTTTCTTGCACACAAGGAAGCCAGAGAAGACAAGGAAAGGATGTGATGTGCAAACACCCTCCCACATACACCTCCATGCTTGTGGAAAGGAAGACAGACTTGTGCCTCATTCTTCCACTTCACAGAGCTGTCACTCAGCTACAGGATGATCAAGAGATGCCTAAATTTTCTTCAGCTTCTGTTCATTCCACAGGGCTGTGTGAAGCTTAGCAGAGCATTAATGTCCTGTCTTTGTTATCCTTCTCTAAATAAGGGACAATATGTTTATTACCCTGTACTGGTCTTAGAATCCCAAAAAATAATGTTTGGAGTAAAGTAGATGTTGATGAGAAGGGTCTAGACTGAGGCCTCGTCTTCTTTCCAAACTCACGTCCTGAAATTCCTGCAAGTGTTCAAAGCCAAGGTTTGGAGCAACCTGGTTTAGTGGAAGGTGTCCCTGCCCATGGCAGGGGGAGTGGAATGGGATTCTCTTAAGAGTCCCTTCCAACCCAAACCATCCCATGATTCTGTGATTCTATGAAATAGTTCATGGCAAGTACAAAGTACCAAAACTAGAGATTTTCTCACAGAAGGAAATGTGGTAAGGAGATTGGCATAGGAATAGTGCCAGAAAAGAGGTAAAAAGCCACTTAGTTACCTTACATGGTCTCAGTCTCACAGGGTCATGAAACCCCTCTGAGTAAGACTCGCCACTCCACTCCCAGGACGTTCCAATATTTGGATTTCTGTCTGGAAGCTGGAAATCCAAAGTGGCCTGAGGAAATTGCCCTAGAAGCAATTGAACACCAGAGAGGTCATTCCTCATCCCAGACACTGCCAGATGCTATGGAACCACCCCGATGTTGGATGAGCCCTCAGTGCTGCTCAGACCCACATTTAGTGTTGTTAATTACTCACCCGGCTCACTGGCCACAATGAAGGACTCGGGGGTGCGCTGGGGCAGGGGTGGAGGAGCATCATCATCATCAGGCTGTGGTAGGGGGGCTGATTGGAGAGACACAGACAGGTTACTGGCATGGCAGGAAATAAGGGGGACAGCAGACCTGTGTAGGGAAGGGGGCTGCTCCTACCCTGCCATGCACCAGAGATTAAGGTTAAACAGCTCTAAACTGTGGTTTGACATACAAATAATTGCCAGCACCAATGGCACAAGGAAAATGAGCATAAGCCAGCACAGAGCCAGGCACACAGCTGGGGGTTCTGCTGCTGCTTGGCTCGGGCTGCAGCTCCCAGCACTTCCCAAGGGCACTGGAATAATGAGCATGTCTTTGTGGCATTGAATGCTGAGGGGCCTGGGCAGGACAAAGTGGAGCAAGTGCCAAAGCTGTGCACAATAGGAAATTGCACCAGGACTAACCAGAACAAGGAATAATTCCACCTTCCTCGTATGACAGGTGATGGATTTAAGGCTACAGATCTGGGCAAAACACTTGTGTTGAATCATGGAATCATTGAATGGGTTGGGTTGGAAGGGACCTTAAAAACCACTGAGATCCAACACCCCCACCATGGGAAGGGGTGTCTCCCGAGTTGCTCAGGGCCCCTGAAGCCCTGGATCTCTCAATCTCGGTGAGATTTCAGTGTCCCCCGCATGACACTCTGCAGCAAAGAGTGGGGTTTGACCTGAAAACTAGATCCTCAGAGAAAACTGTTTCTGGGAGCTTTCTGAATGCTTTTTGGAGCACCTTGGTTGTAGGAATTGGTCAGCACCATCCCTGCCTCCCTGTGAGAGCTGTTCTGAGCTGACACAGTGGTTCAGAGTAGCTGTGTAATGCAAACACCAAAATTACACTGCTCTAAAAATGTTTGTGGGAAAAAAATTCAGGCAGAATGAAAAGAGTGTGGAGATGAAACCAGCTGCTCCCTCAGCTCCCATGAGAGCCCAGCCCTGAGGAGCAGCTCAAGCCCTGCCTGGACACCAGATGACCACACTGACGGCTCCCTCCAGCACACCCCAATCCAGAATGACCTGGTTCCCCTTGTCCCCTTGTCCCAGTAGCACTTACCCGAGGGGAAGATCCTCTCCTGGTTCCCCTTGTCCCCTTGTCCCAGTAGCACTTACCCGAGGGGAAGATCCTCTCCTGGTTCCCCTTGTCCCCTTGTCCCAGTAGCACTTACCCGAGGGGAAGATCCTCTCCTGGTTCCGGGGAGCATGGTGGAATGATGGGGAGCTGATTGTGCTGGGCTGTAGTGGGGCACTGGCAGAACACGAAGGGAGGAGCTCATCCTGCCCCTCCAGAAAGGGGAACATGGGGGACACAGGCTTGTCTGGAGAAAGTGATAAGAAGTAGGGGTCTTCTGCTGAGCACAGGTAAGGGTGAGGGCATTGCCCCTGGTTCCTGTGGCCTGGGGGGGCATCTGCTGCTCCTCTGGAGGGGTTCAGGTCCACAGGGGAAAACCCATCCTGGAAGCTCGAGCGGGCGGCTTTTGGCCACTGTGGACTCCAAACAGGCTTGGCATCCCCTGCATCCCATTCCAAGCCTTCTCCCCGCTGCCCCAGTGCTAGAGGGGTTGATACAGTCCATGCCAGAGGGGCTCTAGCACCAGGCCCCCTCCCTCCTGCTCCCTTTGGCTCCAGCTCCAGCTCCCAGCTGCAGTGTTTCTGAGGGGCATCCCCAGCAGCTGCCTGCCTACAGCTGATGGAGTTCAGAGCACTGAAGGAGATGGCCTGTCTGATGGGGGGCACTCCCTGGGCAGAGCTGTGTGCTCCAGGGGCACACAGTGACGCCAGGGACACTTTGCTCTGTGCCACTGGCCGGAGCTGTCGATGCCCGTCCTGCTGCTGAGCCTGCTCCTCTCGCTCCGAGCTGCAGTAAAAGCACAACAAAGTGGTCTTGGGTCAAAGCCATGGAGGGCTCAGAAAATGTTGGCCCACTAACAGAGCCCACAGCACTGCTCCCAGGAGCAATTCCCTCAGGAATGCACAGCCCAGCTTCAAGCGAGGAGCACAGGGAAGGACTGTGCTCCATTTCAATGCTGTTAAATGGTGAACAGAGGAGGCCCCTTTATGCCAGCAAACTGAACCAAAAAGCAAAATTATTTACAGAAAGCACTGCCATCCTAAACATATCCACAGAGAGATCCCACCAGCTTTGGAAGCTGCTGGTATTGGGAAGCTGGATCCTCAGGATTGCTATTCCTGTAGCAAGGGGCACTGGAGTGGAATGTGCACATGGAAGATGGGACCGGTGCAGGGACATTCCATGCCAGGCAGAAGGCTGGGATGACCCAGCCTGTGTGTTCATGGGATGTTTTTCTGCTGTTCTCTACTGTTTTCAGTTTGTGTGAAACACTGTGTGACACAAAGCCCAGGGCAGAACAAGGGGACAGATAATGGCACAGGGAAGAGGCTGGGACACATCAGTGGGAAGAGCAGGAATTATAGGAAATTAGGAAAAGTTTCTTCACTGAGGGGGTGATCAGGCATTGCAACAGGCTGGCCAGGAAAGTGGTGGAAACATCTGTGAGTGTTCAAAAAACATTTAGATGTGGCACTTGGGGACATGGTTTAGTGTTGGACCTGGCAGTGCCGGGTTAATGGTTGTGCTCAGTGGTCTTAGAGAACTTTTCCAACCTTTATGATTCCATGAATTATGTTAGGAACAAACATTGAGTCAAAGTGGGACTCAAGGGAGGCAGCAGATCCTGAGAGCTAAAGTGTTCCAAAGCACACATCAAAAAGTTCATCTCTCTGAAATCGTGTGGGTGACTGCAAATATCAACCAGGGATACTTGTGCTGAGGCCTTACCAGGTGAGTAAACTCAGGCCGTAAATGTCTTCCAGTGGAGTCAGGACTGGCTTGGCTACAGGGTGCCCTGCTCCTTCCTAGGGAAAGGAAAAGTTTGCAAACAAGGGTGAGGAGGCAGAATGCAAAGAACACCAACGCATTGCTTCAGGAGCAGTGATTTTTGCCAAATACTTCTAATTACTAAAGCACTTGAGAAATGACACCAAGGTGGAGCTGAAAACTGCAGACAGAACTTCCTGAAGAGCACTGGCTCCTGCCAGAACCTTTCTGAAATGAGAGTACAGTGAGCCCTACAACCATCCAGATGTGCCAAACAGCTGGCAGGCAGCCTGTGCAGACACTCTGCCTTCAGGAACCCACACTAGGCAAGCTGGGTGCTGGTTTTACTCATGACACCAGCTCATGGCCATCCCAGAGCTCTGCACAGTGTCCTCAGAGGACAAGGAGGTTTAGGGGGCCAAGAGGTTTGAGCAAGAGCTACAAAACCACATCCTGACTTGAAACATCCTCTGCACTTTGTGTCAACCCAGCCCTCTGTGACCTTTGCTCACAGACTGTCCTTAACCAGTTCAAAAAGGCTTTTTCCAGTTATTTTCTCACTCAGCTCTGGCTTGGAATGTCCTGCAAATCCTATGGCAAAACTGAGGCATAAGTCCCATTGCAGGATCCCCTTCCCAATTCTTAAAAGTTTCTGACAAAATGAGCTCATTGTGACCTTCCAGGCTTTTCTGTGATGCATTTACTTTCCTGGATTTGAACCAGTGAGGCTCATGTCAGCAGTCACAGAACAGCAAGAGCAAAGAAAACCTCAACCAGAGATGTTTTGGCTATTCCTGTTATTATGCAACTTCACACCAAGATCACATTTCTTTTCCTCAGAGGTGTAACAGATTTGTGAGACTTTGCCATGTTTTTTTCACGAGATATTTCCCCCTATGCCCTCCAACAGACAGGCTGTAGTGCTGACTCCCTCACTAACACACATCTGGTAACACTTTCAGCCTCACTGCCTTGTGATCTTAAGCTTCCCAACCTGGATCTTCCCAACCTGGTCTGAAAATCCCTCAGCAGCTTGTGAGCACTCCATGAAGACAAGTTTCACTAGCACATCCCCATGGAAATCAGTTATGATAGGAAATTTGTGCTGTTTTCTTCCCTCACATTAAACAACGGTAAAAATATATAGAAAATAGAAAATGGTTTTGAGACTGAAGATCTAGGTCTTGTTCGTGATGAGCATTGCACATTCAGGGGAAGACCTGGATTCACGAGTTAACATCAAAAGAGACGCAGTTTGTGTATCAAGGGGAGCAGAAAATACAGAATTCATCCCAGATCTGCAGCAGGAATTGAGGTTAGACCTGGAGTGCCCAGGCTGCAAGAGGCAGGGTGTTTGTCCTGGGACTTTTACCTGTGAAGCAGCAGAATCTTTCTGGGCATCGAATGCTTGAATCTGCCTTTTGAAGAGCTCAATCACCGCATCATAAACCAGCTCATACTGCTCCTGCATTCCAGACGGGCAAAAAAATGTGTCAGCCAGCACCAGTGGGACCTGTAAGTGGCCACCTCTTACCAAGCAAGCATCATCCCAGAGAGAAGTGGCCTTTCCTGTCCTTTGGCAGGTTGTGGATTCTGAGAAGAGGCAGAAGTCACAACTCTCACAGTGTTCACACTGAAGCATTTGGGGTGGGTTTGGGTTTGCAAACCATGCTGTTCTACATTAAGCTTCCTCTTCAGTCTGGTGCAGCTGAGAAAAGTTCCCACTTTATTGCCTGGATAGTCCCTGGTTTCACAGTGTAAGTGCACAATAAATCACACTGTGAGCACTGGCCCAGCTGTCCACAAGGAAACTCTCAGCTCCCAAATTAATTTCTGCCAAATCATTGTTCTGTTCAGGAAAGAGATTTTGCACAACAGCTCCACACCCCAGTTCCCACCAGCACCACTGCTCTGGGTCTCCCTGCTGTGAACCCTCATGGGAAAAGATGAGGTCCCAGCAAGGACCAGCTGATGACATTCCCCAAACATGCCTTGGTCTGCACTATGCAAGGTCTTTGTGTGCGCATTTCCTGGATCAGACTGAAAACACTGAAGTTCACTGGAACAATCTGGCGAGAAAGAGGAAAGACAAAATGGTTTTAAACTAAAGGAGAAGAGATTTAGATTTAATATTGAGAAGGAATTCTTCCCTGTGAGGGTGGGGAGGCCCTGGCACAGGTTGCCCAGAGCAGCTGTGGCTGCTCCATCCCTGGAAGTGTCCCAAGGCCAGGCTGGATGGGGCTTGGAGCCACCTGGGATAGTGGAAGGTACCCCTGCCCATGGCAGGGGGCTGGAATTAAAGATCCTTCCAACCCAAATCTTTCCGTGATTTCTATGATTTCTCTGACAAAAAAATTACAGACAGGTCTAATTCCACAAATTTTCCAAGTCCTGATGCAGTTCAGAGCATTGTCTGAAATCCAGGCCTGCAACTGCAATAATTTCTAACAAAGCACCCGCTTAAAGTGCTATTTAATTTATTACAAACCATCCTCCTCCCTCCTGTCTCACACTCCACACAAAATACACTTTTTATAACAGCTGTGGGCAGCACGAAGGACGTGACACTGATTTCCCAGCTGGATGGGTTCAGGTAACTGTAGAACAGAAGACAGCAGGCTCTCCTCTGAGTCCTAGGGATTACTGCCTGTACCATTACTGGAGAGTCAGAGTAAAGCAAGGGGGTGGTTTGGAAACACTGAACTTCTGATGTAGGAGTGTGGAGAGACAAATATAGACAGCAAAGATGTATTGGAGAATGAAGGTCAGCACAGGCCCAGGTGCTGTGAGCTGAGGGCAGCAGTGGAGGGGGGATTCTGCCCCACTGGTGTGAAGCTGTCAGTGCCTAAAGAGAGAGGAGTGGCACAAACTGGGAATGGGGAACCCGTACTTCGGCCACTGGGGAGCTCCCATGTACCTGAAACCCACCTGAAACCCACCTGAGTGCAGTCAGAGGGGGCAAAAGTCAGAGGGAAGTCTGGGGAGGGACAGGGGGGGTGCAGGTGCCATTGGAGGCAGCAAGGGGCTGGCACTCACCCCGTCCTTCAGCAGCCTCTGGGTGTAGTCGATGGCGCAGATGACACCAGTTCTGCCACAGCCAGCACTGCAACGACAGCCACAGGGCATGGGGTGGGCATGCTGTGTTTTCTGACAGGGATGTTTGGAGAAGACCCACAGCCACCTGTGACCTTGCCATGCCACACACAGCCTGCAGACCTGCAGGATGCTGCAGCTTCAGCCCATGCAGGGCTGCCCAGGGTTGGGAGGCACAGCTCATCCCCTGAGGACAGCTCTCAGTCCTCCCGTGGTAACCAGCACATGTGGACATGCCCAGTGGTGGTGGTCTCTGGTCCAGACATTCTTACTTTCTACAGCTCCCTGACAGGAGGGTGTAGCCAGCCGGATATTGGTCTCCTCTAACAAGAGACAGGACAAGGGGAAATGGCCTCAGGTTGCTCCAGGGGAGCTTTAGATTGCATATTAGGGAAAATTTCTATACCAAAAGCATTGTCAAGCACTGGCACAGGCTGTCCAGGGCAGTTTTGAAGTCACCAGTGAAAGGATGTGTAGATGTGGCACTTAAGGACATGGTTTAGTGGTGGCCTTGGCAGTGCTGGGTGAATGGTTGGACTTGACCCTCTTAAGGGACTTTCACAACCTAAATAATTGCATGGTTCTGTGATTCTGTTGCTGCTGCCTCCTTCCCTTTCCCCTGGCTATGCTGGCTGTCCTCAGAGGCACCGTTTGCCCTATAAGAGGACCTTGGCTATGGGCTTGGCCAACCTCCTTGCCCTGTGACCCCTCAGGACATGGGAGCACAGGGGTCTAGGGGCCAGCAGCCCTCCCCTGCTAGCAGCCAGGTCACCCACCTGCAGTGGATGCAGACAGGGACCCTGTCATCAGGCTGGTAGCAGCGAATGTCCCTGACGAGCTCCAGGATGGGCTCAATGGATGAGGGGACGTGGTGGTCCGGCCAGTTTTTGTAGTGGAAGTGGTAGATGGTGCGGGTTGCCTGCAGTAGAAGAGAAGTGGCAGGGTCTGGGATGTCAGCAAGGCAAGGGGAGCTGGATTTCTGCTCCATCCCCAGCTCCCATTGCACTAGCTGGCAAAGGGCAGAGCAGAAGTTTGCAGTTGGTTTTGCTGCAAGAGCTGTTTTAAGACGTTCTTGGCCTCACTTACCCAGAGTCTGATTTGCCATGACTGACAAACACTTTCAGAAACTGAGGTCTGAGTTAATCAATTTTTCACTTTCTTTGTTCCCTCAACTGCTGTCAAATCTAATACAGCAGCCTGAGCAATTTAAAATTTTCTGCACAAAATGTACCGTATTTTAATATATTATTTATAAAATAAAGCCAGCCCAGGTACATTTTCTGCCTTGACCTTTCCTCCTTACCTCATTCAGGGTCACCTTTAAAGTTCTAATCACATACTCATTCCTCTTCTCCTCAGCCTCCTGCAGAAGAAGGAGTCAGAGTCAGATTTTCTGTGGGTGCCCTGGGGTGGGACAAGGTGCTGAGGTGCTGCACTCACACAGGTGATGGAGAAAGGGCCACAGTGCAGGGAGGAGCCGTCCACCTCTGCCCAATACCGCTCACATTTCTTCTGTTAGGACAAACAGGATGTGTTTGGTTATTCCCCACTGGCCCAGCTCTGCCAGTGTCCTTTTCCACTTTTCAGGACAAAATTCACGCTGGGAAGAGGTTCAGCTCTTGCTGCTGTCCAGCTCCAGCCTTCCTTTCCTTGAAGCTGCCACTGCTGGTTTTCCCTTTCCAGGTAGATTCCCTATGCTACCAGAAAAGGCTAAAGAATTTCATGTAATCAGAGACTGGTTTGGGTTGGAAGGGACCTTAAAGATCGTCTCATTTCACCTGTGGGCAGGGACATCTTCCATTTGCAGCTGGAGACCCAAAAACCAGCTTATATCGAACAGACACTGGCTGTCAGTAATGGCATTTAATGAAAATCTGCATCTCTCGCCCTGCCCTGGCACTTGGGGCCATCTGTGACGTGCTACTCACCTTCCCCATTTCAAACTCCATACAAGCCATGACCACGACCTGCAGGAAGAAGGTTCATTAGAAAAGTCTGAACATGAGTTTTTTTATCCAGGCAGCAAAATTAAATTCATCTCTTGTGGGTACTTATCAATGATAAAGAAACTCTGTGGACTGCCTTCCCCCGAGCCCCAACTGCCAGAGGAGTCACACTGGGACATCACCCACAGCCTGGCACATCATCCCAAAGCCAGATCCCAAAGGCAGGGACAGCCACCAGCAGACTCCTGCAGACTCCTGCCCTGGCACGAGCTGGGGGAGGCTGACAGGAGAGATGTGGGACACATACAACATCTGCAGTGAAACCCTGACACTCCCACTGGCCTACAATGGACTTCTGGCTGTAAGGACAGCTTTTCTTAAAAATAAAAGGATAAATGAAATTTATATTTAAATACAAATCTGCACCTTACCAGGACTTCATACTCCCAAATCATCCTCCAAAAGTCAGTGACAGTAGTGGGGAGAGGACCCTGGGTTGCAATGTACGCTCTTGGCCCATAGACACCCTGGAACATTCAAACGAGACATGGACGCATCTGTGCATAGTTCACCAGCAGAAATAAAGTCATTCCCCTCTCTGAATTTACTTCTGTCAGCAAGGCCATTAAGGACTTTTTTCATATAGTTGAATTTTGGGCACATACATTAACTCAAGCAGTGGTGTGCAAACCAAAGGCAGGGCCTAGCTGGGGAGCTGGGACTGAGCTGAGATCTGCTCCCAGAGACCAGCACCAGTTCTTACAGTGCCTCTGGGAGCTTGGAGGTGATGTGGCCACAGCTCTGTTGCTGATGGCCAAAGAATGAGCTATGAGCTGTGATGTTGTTGGGAAGGTCTATTCTTCTGCAGACAGGTTACACAGAGCCCTGGGTCACTGGTCACTGTCATGGAGAATGAAGGGAACCTTCAGTGAATGAATGAATGAATGAATGAATGAATCAATCAATCAATCAATCAATCATCTGTCTGTCTGTCAGAGAAGGGTTGTAGGCCCAGGACAGTCCCAAAACTTGTACAGCTGCAGATGGAGCACTGTCCCACACTGATCTTCCACGTTGCTCGCCCCAGCAGCTGGTCCCAGCCGTGCAGCCCTGCAAGGCTTCCTGCCTCTGCACTGGTTGCAGCCCAGGTGACTCTGGCCACAGGCAGTTTTGCACCACTGTCACCCACCAAAGGCAGCAGTGGAAATGAGGAAGTTGGGGCTGTGAACCACAGACTGTTCCACCCCGGCACGAGTGTGCCCCTCTCCTCATAGCCCGATGCCTCTGTGCTGCACGGGGGGCTCTGGAGGGCTCTCTCATCTCCCATCAGTTATCCTTGACCACAGCCCAGAAACTGCTGCAGAGCCCTTTGGTTCACCAGAGCACCTGACCCCCTCCTCCTGGCACCACCAATACCTTTGCAGGACCAAACGCCACAAAAGAGGCAAACCTTGATGAAGCTGGCATTGATGTAATGAGAATCTGTGTCCGATGTAATCAGGGACAGCTCCACTCTGCTGTGGTCAACTGCAAAAGCAGGGGAAGCAGTCAGTGTCTGTCCTTCATGGTCACTGAGCCCGTGGAGGGCACTACAAGGGGCTTTGGGGGAGACTTAGGTCAGAGAGCTCCTCCAGGGTGGGTGGGTGGCTGTGCAAGCAGCTGATGTCCCTCCCACACCTCCCACAGCCCTGCTGCCTACACACACAGAGGATCAGGACAAGATCCTTTTGGAGAGTGAGGGAGGTTTTGTGAGAGAGCTGCAGGTGCTGGCACTACCCCAGTGCAATGCTGATCCCCCCTGACCATGCAGCACACCAAGCCCAAAACCACCTCACTGCACCCTAGGCTCAAACCAGGTCTGTGGGGTTAGATACAAAGGTTTAAAGCTGGACTCAGTCTTGGAGGTGTTTTCCAACTTCCAACTCTATGATTTACTTTATTTTCCAAATTGAAATGGATGAAAGAGACAGTCTGCTTGGACCCTGAGACAGGGTCCTTTGGGGACCACTGCACCAAGCCAAGCCAAACCAGGGTTTGCCTGTTGTCTGCTTTGTGCATCACGGAGACAGCATCACGCTGTCCAAAGGCCATTGGATGCAAGTGGTTGCAGTGCTAACAGAAAGCTCGCAAGGATAATCACTTGAGGATGTGTTTCCTAGTGAACAGAAGTTCTTCTGTGTGTAGAAATATCACAGAATCACAGAATATCCTGAGTTGGAAAGGACCCACAAGGACCATCGAGTCCAACTCCCGTCCCTGCACAGGACATCCCCAAAATCCCACCATGTGCCTGACAGTGTTGATACGAGCCAAAGTCTTCCAGAGCAGGCACTGCAGCAGCCAAAGGCCTAAATCTGAACAGCAGGACACAAAGCCAACAGACAGCAGTGAGATGCTCACCTACAACAACAGTGCAGGCAGGCACCAGAGGATGAGAACAAGAAAAGCAAGAAAAACAAAAGGCTGAGTAGGAACATGTGCCATTTCCAACCTACAAGGTAAGATGTCCTTGTATCTGTTCTTCTTGACATTCTCTGGCTGCTCAGACGCTGCTGTAGGATAGATTTTATCCGATCTGTACTTTGTTGACTGTCTCTTCAGCTTCTGTGATAAAAGAGTGGAACAAATTACAGCAGACGTGCTACAGCCAGCGCACTACTAGAGAGCACACAAAGGTCTCAAGTGGTCACGTTTGCTACCACAAAGCAAGGCCAGCACCATTAATTCTTTCCTGAGTGGCTTTGCTCAGAGCAAGAATAGAGGCAGAACCACCTGAGAGCCCCAGCACAGGCTTCTGAACAGTGGAAAGTGTGTGCTGAGGCAGCCCACACGCCAGCTTGTGAAGTGACACACTCACTTCACAAGTGAAGCGAAGCCTTTACAAGTGAGTGAGGCCCAGGGGAACCACTCTGAGTACAAATGGCACCCAGATCAGAGGAGTAACAATGTCAAAGCACCTTCAGCAAATGATACCAGAAAAGACAGGCAAATCTATTGATTTTTCTCACTTTGGTGGAGATGCTCCCATCTGCTGGAAGCAGTGATGCTCAAGTCACAAGCAACTGGAGCAGAGTGGCTCCATGGACTGATGAAAGAATAGGGAGGAGTCCTGGGACAGATCCTTAGGGCTGCAAATCTCTCATCTCTTTCATTTTCAGGGTAAGGCTGCAGCACTCATAGAGAGTTAAAGCATCTTTCTCCTGGCAAAGCATAGAATTTTATTTCACTGTCACCAGCTCCTAAATAACACACTCTATTTATTGCCAGCAGCTTCAGAAGCACCATTCTTGCTGTACATTTTATTTCATATTTTTTTTGTTTTAATATTAAACTGCAGTTTCGAAACACTAAATTCAGCCCCAATACCCTAAGAGTTAAACGAGATCTGATGGAATGAGTGAGGGAGGAGGTACAGGAGGCACAGGATAGTCCATATGTCCAGTCTCTATTAATTAAGAGAATGGGGCAGATACAGTGGGATAGAAATTAGGGGAGCAGGGTGGATTTTGTAGCCTCCACATCCCTGCAGCCTTCTGAGCAATTCTGGTGTTAGTCACATCTTCCCCTTCCTCCTTCCAGTGCACCCCCAGCTTCCAGGGAAAGATTTCATGGAAGGGGCATCACTCCATCCTAAAGCCAGTCTTCCCAGAACAAAGGCCCTGAATCATCTTGAGTTTTCGGTCACTGAATAATCGGACACTAAACCACTTGGGAAATGCCAAGGTGTGACAAAGGAAGTCAGAATCACAGAACCATGGAACATCCTGGGCTAGAAGGGACCCACAAGAATCATTGAGTCCAACTCCTGGCCTTGCACAGACACCCCAAAATCCCACCCTGTGTCTGAGAGCATTGTCCAAATGTTCCTGGAGATCTGGCAGCCTCGGGGCTGTGCCCATTCCCTGGGGAGCCTGGGCAGGGTGTAGCTGTGAGTCTGCACAGTGGGAAGAAAGGGACTCTAACAAAACCCCTATCATTTATAGTAACGTCATCACAACTTGCCAGTACAAATGCTTGGTCCCACAAGGAGAGGGCAGAAATTGGGGTGGAGGAATGGCACTGAATATTCCTATCACATTTGGAAACAGAAGCCAACATGGTGTCCTGCTGAGGCCACCGCCTTGCAAAAGTGGCTGCAAATCAGGTCACTCTGAGAAGATCTTATCCCATACAACAGGAAATGCAGCCTTGACCATTTCCATCTGCCATTTTGATCAGAAATTAATACATCAGGCTGCTGAAGCCAGCCTGAGCACCAGGGCTCAGAGCCTCACACACACAGACACCCTGGCAGAGAGGGGAAACTCAGCAGGCTGTGACAGAGCTTTGTTCCATGGAACAACAGATTGTCACTGCAGGCTGAGATGAATCACTTCCCTCCACCCCAGACACCTGGAAACCAAGCACTCAGCTTTCCCCAAGTGTTTGAAGTGCCAGATTTTGCTGGTATGACGGAGCAGGGCTGGAGCTCATGGAGACCCCTCAGTAGCCCAAAGCCCACCGCAGGGTCAGTCCAGTGTTTGACATGTTTCAGATCTCACAGACCTACCAGTTTTGCCCTTCCCTATGTCTGTGAAAGCTGGGCAATGTCACTGCCCCTCAGAGCAGCCTAGACAGCCTGTCAGAGCCACCGGCCTCCAGCTGATACACCAAGAGCTACCTCCAGCCACCAGCTTTAGCCATGAGGTGATGCGTTGGCATCTGAGCCTCACCCTGACACCCAAACCAAAAAATATATCAGAGAGCTCACAAATTCAGGGCAATGCAGAACACAGGGGCTGGTGGGAGCCATCAGCATTTTGTGCAACTTTTGACTTGAGGGAAAATGAAAGTAGTTTCCAGGAGGGGCCAGGAGCACTGCTGGATGTAGAGCACACAGATCCCAGATCCCAGAATGGTTTGGGTTGGAAGGGACATTAAAGCTCATCTCATTCCACCCTCTGCCATGGGCAAGGACACCTGCTGCTATCCCAGGTTGTTCCAAACCCTGTCCAGCCTGGATTTGGACACTTCCAGGGACGAGGCACCCACAGCTGCCTTGGGCAGCCTGTGCTCTAGAGAAACAAGAACAAGCTGAGTCAAGGCAAAACCAGAGATCCCTGGCAGGAACTCGTGTGCCACTGGTCTAACAGGGGTGTGAAGGGCCAGAGGCTCTATATTCCTCCCTGTCCCCCCAGTTCTGTTACCAGGCAAAGTGAAACCATGTCCCAACAAGCGCATTCGCCCAGCAGAAAACAGGAAGCACTCGAGTAATTAGTTAAAAAGCAAACAGTTGAAATACAAACTATTAAATTCCTATCATGTCTTTACATTCCTCTTAGCCCAGTTAACTTCTGTGTGTCTGCTATAAAACTCCTAGAAAATCTCACTGTCACAGGTTTGAGAGGTGACCGAGCGATTCCCTCTGAAATGAGCTGAAACACTGAGCCAAGCCTTGAGTGAACTCACCAAAAACTCCTCTGCAAACTCTCCTTGGCTGAGCTTCTTGCCTTGGGCCCTTTCCAGGTTGTGTAGCAGGATCCCCCTTTGGTCCATGGTGCCAGAGCGTGCCTGGCCTGGCCCTCCTGGGAAGGGACATGTCAAGTGATCCGCAGCGGAAGGCGCCGCCGGGGAGTGCTGCCTGTGGTTTTCTGACTTCATCACAGCCCCAAAGGAAATTAGTGCGTAGCAGATAATCCTGGCCAAACAACACAACACATGGCATGGGGCACTGGCACCCTCTGCTCAATCCAGCCCCACTTGGCATGGGGTGGGCAGCACTGAGGACAAGGGTAGGGACACGTTGGACACTTGTCCAAACCCCCCACCACCCAATTCCTTCAGCACCATGCCCAGCCACCACTGCCAGGGGGCAACTGTGGAGCATTCACATCCCAAGGGGCTGTGCTTCACCAGGAAGGCTTCAAACCTGGAGTGTGACTGTAAGAGTCCATAAAACAGCATGGAAAATCCACAGTTCCCCTTCATGCTTTTAATGTAGAATCCCAGAATGGTTTGGGTTGGAAGGGACCTTAAAGCTCATCTCAATAAGCACAGACACCTTCTACTATCCCAGGTTGCTCCATGAGCCCAACCCAGCCTTGGACACTTTCCAGGGAAGTTCTAGTCTGTTTTCCACATCAGCTGTAAAATACTTTGAAAAAATCCTTCAGGCAGATGCTGACACCCAAAGAGGTGCTACTGCCCTGGACTGTGTGACTTCCAGAAAAACCCCCTCCATGTGCTTCAGGTCAACTCTTCCAGCCATTCTCATGGCTTTTGCCAAAAGAGACGATCACACCTGACTCCAGCAGATTATAGAAGTCTTGGTGTGGCCACAGCAAAGTAAACGATGGACTGCCAAGTTCTCAGCTACTTTTCCCTGAAAACTGCATAATGCCAATGCTACAGTGCAGCTCTCCCTGAGGACAGGGACACAACACAGCTGTGGGAACTGTTAACAGGAGCCCTGCTACAGCTACAGTTCACCTGCAGGTTCACCCTTTACATTAATTTGACATTTGAGACTAATTATTGCCCAGTCACTCCTTAAAGCTTTGCTTCAAGGAAGGTGAGAGAGAAAAGCCCTGTTGGAGACAGAGGCAGGAGCTGGGCTGCAGAGCTGCCCTGATCAACAGCAGTGATCACACCACTCCATCCACAGCCCTGAGGGTTGAAGGAACAAGAAACTCCAGAAATCAACCAAACAGGATTCACATTTTTATTAGGAAAAGCAGAAGTCTCTCTAACAGTGACAGGGTTTCAGTGAAGTGCATGGAAGGCATAGTGCCATTTGAGGGCCAATCATATCATTCAAAGAAATCAAAAATTACAAGAAATCAGGCAGAATAGGGTCAAAAAAAGCTTGTGCTCCTCACAGAGTACCTAAAGCCCTGTTAGGTCAATCTCACTGCATACCTCACCCTCAGTCAGTGAGTCTGGAAAGAGCACAGGGAGCTGGGGGGAACTTCAGAGAGGGCAATTCTCACCTCAGTAACACATTCAAACTAAAAACCCGTCTCTTGGAAGTGGACCATGCTGGTTCCAGTGAGCAGGATGTACTCTGCATACCCTCCTCTGGCACAGCAGAGCTCTCTTCACCCCCAAGTAAAGCTACTAATAAAATCAGACAGCAAATTAAAATAAATGTAAAGGGAGCCAAGAAAGAAATATTCTCTCCTCACTGCACTGATCCTCTTAGTGTGAGATAAGTGGCAGAGTCCTGGTGCCTCTGGCATTTTGTTTTGTTTGTTTTAATTATTTATAATTCTCAGGGAAAAAACCTCTCTAAAACACACCCCTGGATTCTGCTCAGTTCTGGTTCCATCAGTGACATTTGTGCCTCATGACAACCCCCACAGATGCCAGCAGTCATGTGATTCACACCAGAGTGACCCTACCCTGTTCCCCAGCCCCAGCTTCCCCCACACCACCCAGGCTTTCCAGGTAAACTGCAAACTGTGTAGTTTCAAACTACCAAACCAGCACTGGGTGTGGCAAAAGCCAGAGAAATCAACTTTTCCTGTGCCCTGAGGATGCATCCTGCTGGGAGCAGGGACCAGTCAAGACTCCAGTCCAGCCACCGCCTCCAGGACTGTCCTCAAGGCTGAGATGAAGGATTGCAGAGCCTCTGGCTTTGTTTCATTTTGCTTCACCGAAATCTGCAGCTCTGTATCTGCTGCCTCAAGCAGGAGCTCTGTGAGGAAGAGGCAGCCCGAGTCATCCTGGGCACTCAGATAAGCTTTCCAGGGCTGGGCTCCAGCTTTGCTCATGGCAATGGTCTGGATGTGCACAACACGAAGGGCTGTCTGGATGGTGTCTGCATGGACAAGCCCACACCAGGGCAGAGAGAGCTGGCAGCTCGTGTCCAGGCTCAGCCAGGTCTTCTCAAACTCTTCTGCAGTCAGGGAAACATCAGGAATCAAGCTTAGGCTGCCTGCATCAGGATGAGCCTTGAGGAGTTCTTTATTCCCTTCAGACACTGGAGTATCAGGGTGAACCTCAAGGACTTCCTTACTCCCTTCAGAAACCAGTGACTCTGAAATGAAAGCACAAACACATATGAGATGCAGCTCCCAGCTCCACAAAGCCCATCTGATGGAGCAGAGGAAGGCTGGAATCCCAGTACCACCTGCAGCGTTCCCTGGGCTAGTGAGGGACCAGCCACACACTGCACAAGGTGATCAGAACACCAAATTCCCAAAGCACTCTGACATTCTTCCAGACAAACCCACAGGAGAACATCCTGGCTGCCCAGAGCAGCTGTGGCTGCCCCTGGATCCCTGGAAGTGTTCCAGGCCAGGTTGGACAGGACTTGGAGCAGCCTGGGACAGTGGAAGTTCCCTGCCCATGGCACGGGTGGAACAAGAGGAATTTCAGGGCTCCTTCCAACCCAAACCATTCTGGGATTCTGTGATCTGCTGGCAAGGGGAGAATGGCTCCCAGAGGAAGGTGAGGCAGGTTTACCTGTGTCTCTGTTCCTGGAGTCAGCATAAGGCGAGCAAGAGTAAGAGGGTTCCACAGGCTGCTGAGCAGTGGCGAGTGCCCAGCGCTCTCTGCCATAAACTGTGGCCAGAGTGTTGAACTCCCAAGCCCAGGCATTGACAGGCTGCTTGCTCTGGTCCCCCAGGAGCCCCAGGGAGGGGTCAGACTTGGGGCTGCACAGGACTCGCTTCACTTCCTCCACCCCAGACTGCAGAAGGCGATAGTAGAACAGCCCACGGTCCCGCACAGCCATGTCCTGCTCTTCCTCTGGGAATCAGAGATGCAATTCATGGAGAATCCTACCAGCCACATTTCCCCAGAGTACTGACAATTATCAAAAACAGACTTTCAGGGATACAATGCAAGCCTGCTTACAGGCAGACAGCGAAAGGACAAGGGGGGATGTTTTAAAACTAACAGAAGGCAGGATTGGCTGGGATATTGGGAAGGAACTGTTCCCTGTAAGGGTGGGGAGGCCCTGGAACAGGCTGCCCAGAGAAGCTGTGGCTGCCCCTGGATCCCTGGAAGTGTCCAAAGCCAGGCTGGACAGGGAAGGTGTCCCTGCTCAGGACAGGGGGTGGAACTGGATGATCTTTAAGTTCCCTTCCCAACCAAACCATTCCATGACTCTGTAACTCCACATCCACCAGGCAGCCAGGGGCCAGACAGCAGCCTAAGGCATGGAACCACCTGTCCCTGCCAGCCTGGATGGCCTCCTCAGAAGCATCAGAGTATCTGAGATGCTGACACAGCCTGGGGACACAGCCAGAGCAGGTCCCAAAGCCTGTGACGACACAGGGAACCCACCAATGCAGTAGTAGAGCAGCCTGCCCAACATGTCCTGGCACTCGGCGGGCCGGGCCAGGAAGAGCTGCAGCAGCGCCGTCAGGAGCTCCATCTTCACTGCTGGGAATGTCTCAGACTTCACATTCTCCACAAAGTCCTCCAAGACATAGGGAGCATTGGGGATCTTCTCCCCATGTGTGCCCAGGAGCCAGACCAGCGCTTGCTTGCCCTAAAGGAACCACAGGAACACCAGCAAACAGCTGCTGTGTGCCACATGCTGGCATAAAATTAGCACGCTGAGAGAACAAATCTGAGGATTTCTGATTTTTGCCCCCAATCTCCAGGCAGAAGGAAGATGAACAGTCCTTGTCCATCCTCCCCCGAGCACTGTCACCTCACCTCGTTGTCCTGGATGGTGTCCTCACAGCCAGGCAGCGCCTGGCACACGGCATCTGTGCACTGGGGACACAGCCAGGCTAGGTCTCGGAAAGCACGGACCACAGCTGCAAGAAAAACAAGTTACCAGCATCCCCAAAGTTATAAAAACCATTAGGGGGAAAAAAAAATCATTTCAACTGCCCCCCCCTACTCAAGAAGCTTTGCAAATCTCAGCCAGGAGGGTCAGTGCCCTACCTGTGACTGTGATTTGAGGCACCCTCCTTCCCAATCCCATGACATTGCATTTGTCAGAGTAAAGCTGCACCAGGTCTAAAATAAAGCACTGAGACTTCAGATTGTTCCTCTGCTGGAGAGTAGCCTCTCTTCTGGCCACTGCCAGCCTTCAAAAAGCCTCTGACTCACGATGCTTCAGACACATGAGGTTAGAATGACAAATTAAAGCTGACCCCAATTCGAAATGAGGCTCGTGAACTTTAGGTCAAAACTTTAAGGGTTTTTTTGCTCACTCAGACACACCAACAGCTCCTGAGATGGAATTCAACAGCTGAGTGCAAGCTGTGTGGTTTTCAAACCTGAGAGCAAGACCAGTTAAAAAAGAGCAGCAGGAACAGCAGTGATGTGAAGGTGGATCTGAGAGCAGAAGAGAATAAAGGAAGCTTGGGTACAACTGACTCAGACCATTATGTGAGGAACAGAAATCACAGAGATTCAAAAGATCTGTTAATCATCTTGGCTCTCAAACAGACAGTAAAATGTCTCTGCTGAGCCACAGTAAAATGTCTCTCCCTGAGTCAGCAGGTGGCAGCCAGAAAGAAGCACAAACACAGCTACAACCATCTTCCCCTTTCCCACAGAGAGCAGTTCCTGCAGAAGGAACACACTTTTTACCCCTCAACCCACCTGGAAAACTTCCACCTGAAGGTACCAATTAAACTGAAAGCCAAGTGCCTTTGAGGGTGTTGAGTTTGGGATCACAAGCCCCAGCAAGGGCACCTCCTGAGAGCACAAAGCAGGCAGCAGTCTGCAATGGTTACCTGAGGTGATGTGCTCCTGCTGAAGCCCTAGAAGCTCTGTCAGAATCCCCACACACTGCTCTGTGTATGTCCTGGCAATACTGGCTGCAAGGATGCCAAAAAGATATAAAAATCAACCTTCTATCAGAGTGAAACAGGAATCATGAGCGCAGCTACTCATCACAAACTCTCTTTAAAGAAAGTCTCTCTCCTTTCCCTTCTGACTACCATTTCTGAAAGTGTGGCCAAATGAGCTTGTTCTCCACACCAGGGACATGTTCTTTTCTTTGAGGCAATGCCTCAGAAGATTTCGGAACTTTCCTTAAATGTAATACAATAAAAAAGGCATTTTACCATCCCTAATTTTGTCCTTATGAATACTGTCATAATTCACCTATTTTTAAAGCTCACAAAACCAAAACTATCACCTTAGCTCTGCCCCCACCACAACTCAAAGAACAAACAGGTATTAGAGCTCCTCCACCCCCTGCACAGCTGCACTGAACACTCTAAGGCTCATTAAAAAGATGAAATGTCGCATTTTCTCTAGAGCATCTCCTCACAGCACAAGATTCAAGGACTTTCTGCACAACCTGAAGCAGCTCAATGCTAGGACTTCTGAAATAATCAGTGCTTCAGAAACACTGACACAAACCACTCCTGGGCAGGTTGGAGTCTGTGCTGCTGCAGCACAGAGCAGTGACTTGGTGCTTGCCCAGGTACCCCTTAGCAGAGAACAGCCCCTCTGAAAGGCCCAGGGCTGCAGCCAAGCCAAGGTACAGCTCTCACCTATGGCAAAGATTGCTCCCTGCGCCAGCTCCACTGACACGTCAGTGCAGTAACCCTTCAGCTCCTCCAGAACCTGCTGCACATTTTCATCATTCACCAGCTCACACAGCACCTCCATCTTCTGGCATTTGATATAGTGGGGCTCTGAGTAGGAGCAGAAGAACTTTTTGTAGTGGCTGCTGAAGTGGCCGGGCAGGGTCCTGAGGATCTGGCGCACGTGGCAGAGTGCAGTGAAGCACAGCTCCCTGCTCTCCGAGGTGCAGGCAGACAGCAGCGGGCCCTTCACCCGCACCAGCACATCTGTCTGCACATCTGGGTACTCCCTGGCCAGCACCAGGAACAGCTTGGTGGCTGCCATCACAACGCTGGGACTGCTGCTCTTGAGGTAGCCATCGAGCAGGTTGAGGATGTCGAAGAGCTCGTCCTCGCTGCGCGGTTTGTAGCGCAGCAGGAAGGTGAGCACCTCACTCTGCCCCCACTGATCCAGGTCAGGCATCCTGCCAGGAGCACAGGGGCATGAGTCAGGGAGAGCAGGAACATCTGTGCAGAGGCCTCAGCCTCCAGCTTCTTTATGGCCTCTGCTCCCAACCAAGTGGATGCCACAGTTTCACCACGAGAGAACTGCCTGGTTATTAATTCAGTATCAGTCATGTGCACTTTTGCTGGTGTTTAGACCAGGCAGCAACACTGAGAAGAACCATCTGGGCAGAGCAATACCCCTCTTTTCCTACATCAAGTAGAATTACCTGCAGAAAAACTGATTTCTTCAAGCACGACAGCTATATATCTTTCAGTGGATCTGGAGAGACACACTAGAACATACCTGTCCCACAGATATATCATGTGTATTATCACTATAAAAATCCCAAAAGTCTAATCACATTAACCTACAATTACAAACCAAACCATCAGCTGAGGCAAAGACTGCCTGGAAGAGCTGGGCATCCCAGATTTCTCTTAAGCCTGAAGTGGTTTAGTTTATCTTAGGATGGCCACCTCCATCTTTGGGTAGGAGAGAGGTAGGTTATGTCCCCCCAGAAACTGCCTCTGCATAGAAAACATGAGAACAAGAGAGAAGCTTCCAGCACCATCTTAATACCAAAAAAAACCAAACCTGTTGAGGAGATGATGGGCAATGGGTTTGTTGATGACAACACCTCCCTCCTTCTTCAGGATCTCTTCCAAGGCCCTCAGACAGTTCACTACCACAATGGGGTCCTGGTCACGAAGCAAACTGTAGAGCTCGTTCACCAGAGCACCATCTGCAAAGCACAGAGCTCCTGCCATCAAGATCTACTGCCACACTGCAGTTTAATCATTGTATTTATCAGAAAAAAAAGACGTGGCTTGAACTGGATCAACAAAACTTCAAACACTGCAAGAACACCTGCCCTTGGCACAGCTTTTCCCTGAGGGTCTGTGTGGGTCACAGTGACCCCTGGCTGATCAGAGACTGGGGATGGAAGAAAATCATTGTATCACTAAGTCATAGAATGTTATGGGTTGGAATGGACTTTAAAACTCATTCAGTGCCACTCCTGCCATGGGCAGGGACACTTTCCACTATCCCAGGTGGCTCCAAGCCCTGTGCAACCTGGCCTTGGGCACTTCCAGGGATCCAGGGGCAGCCACAGCTGCTCTGGGCAACCTGTGCCAGGGCCTCTCCAACCTCACAGGGAACAATTCCTTCCCAATATCCTAAACCTGCTCTCTTTCAGTTTAAAGCCGCTCCTCCTTGTCCTGTCACTCCACGCCCTTCTCCGAAGTCCCTCTCTCTCTCTTACAGGCTCCCTTCAGGTACTGGAAGGCCACAATCAGGTCTCCCCGGAGCTTTCTCCTCTCCAGGCTGAACAATCCCAATTTTCTCAGTCTTCCATTAATTACCCTCCACTTTTCCTCTCTTTCTGCCCTGCAGCCACGATAACACAGGGGCAGCGCAGGAGCCCAGGAGAGCCCTAAAACCTGAACGTACATCACGAACACAGCACCTGCGCGTCCCCAGCTCCACGGCCAGCATCCCCAGCCCCACGGGCGGCACCCCCAGCCGCCCCACGGGCGGCACCCACTCACCCACTTCGCAGTCCCCCTGCAGCTTCACCATCTTGGCACAGCCTAGCACGGCCACCCTGCGCACGTAGGACGCCTTGTCCCTCAGCCCGCTCACGAGGGGCTGCTGCAGGTACTCCTGGATCCCGGGCATCCTGCGGGAGGGCAGCCGGCCGTCAGAGGGGCACCGCGGCCGGGGACAGCCCGCGGCCCGCCCCGGGCCCCGCCACACCTGAGGCCGCACATGGTGCGCAGGGCGAGCCCCCTCACGGCCGGGCTGGGGTGCGCGCAGTCCTTGCGCAGGGAGTTGACGGCGAGCAGCGCCAGCTGCGGCTGCCGCGGGGCCTGGGAGCGCACGTAGAAGGACACCAGCTTCTTCTGCACCACGTCCGGCACCGCGCCCGCCTTCACCATCTCTGGGAACAGCCCCGACACGTCGACGCCCTGCGCCATCAGCCTGCGGCAGGCACGGGGCTCAGCGCGGCGCGGCCCGGTCCCGCGCCCCCCGCCCGGCCCGCCCGCCGTACCGGATCACGCGCAGCACGGCGCCGCGATACCGCGCCGGGTCCGCCTGCACGTGCGGGTTCGACAGCGCCCGGCGGAGCTCCCGCTGCGCCTCCTCGCCGCCCAGGTACGGCATGGCCCCGCGCCGCTCCCGCTCCGAGTCCTAGGAGCCGGTGCCAGTCGCAGTCCCAAGTCCCCGTCCCGATCCCAGTCGCAGATCCCAGGATGCGGTCCCGGTCCCAACCCTACTCCCAGGCCCCGACCCCAGTCCCGTTCCCGGTGCCGCTCCGCCCGCCGGTCCCACCGCCCCGCCCACGTGACCCCCGCGCATATGGCGCTGCCCCGCCCCTGGCGCGCGGCCCGGCCCCGGTCACGCCCCGCTCCGCCGGCGCGTGCGCGGCGCTTCCCGCCAAAACTGGTGTGAGGGGAGCAGGGGTCTGGCCCGCCATGAGCGGGACGGTGCTGCCTGGGACCCCCATCGCCGTGGACTTCTGGAGCCTGCGGAGGGCGGCCGGTGCCCGCCTCTTCTTCCTGTCCCACATGCACTCGGACCACACGGTGGGGCTGTCCAGCACCTGGAGCCGCCCGCTGTACTGCTCCCCGCTCACCGCCCGCCTCCTGCACCGCCGCCTGCAGGTAGGTGTGTCCTGCTCGTCCCGGCCCTCATCGCCTGGGCACCCCATCTACTTGTCCCAACCCTCCTCACCTGCCCTGCCCAGCCCTCACACCTTGGCCCCTGCAGGTGCCGATGTGCTGGATCCGGCCGCTGGAGGTGGGGCAGAGCCATGTCGTGGATGAGGTGACGGTGACGCTGATCGACTCCAACCACTGCCCTGGCTCCGTTATGTTCCTCTTTGAGGGTACCTTTGGCACCATCCTCTACACAGGTACATGGCAGGTTCCCACAATCACAGAATCACAAAATTGGTCAGTTTGGAAGGGACTGCCAGGTCACCTAGTCCCAGCTCCTTGCTTAAGCAGGGTTGTGCCAGAGCACATGGCACAGAATTGTTACCAGATGGTTCTGAAATACCCTCAGTGAGGGAAACTCCATGCCCGCTCTGGGCCCTACCCTGCCATCCCTGTCCGTGCAGGAGATTTCCGCTACACGAGTGCCATGCAGAGTGAGCCAGCACTGAGGGGCCGCCACATCGACTGCCTGTACCTGGACAACACCAACTGTCACCCCCAGCGGGCCCTCCCCTCGCGGGCGCTGGCCACCCTCCAGGCTGCCCACCTCATCCGTGCCCACCCGCAGCACCACGTGGTCATTGGTGAGTGCTGCCCTCCCTCCAGCATAGCCCCAGCCAGGGCTTGTGTCCCCCTGCCCTGTCCTTGAGCTGCTGCTCCCCTGGCAGGTGTGTACACCCTGGGCAAGGAGACGCTGCTGATGGACCTGGCGCTGGAGTTTGGCACGTGGGTGGTAGTGAGCCCGTGGCGCCTGGAGCAGATGCGGCTGCTGGAGCTGCCGGACGTATTCACTGCCGAGGAGGGCGCGGGCTGGATCCGCGCCGTGGATGTTGCCGAGATCCGCTGGGACACACTCGTCACCTGGAACACACTTCACCCCACCATTGCCATCATTCCCACCGGCAGGCCCATGAAGGTCACCCACCCCAACATTCACCTCATCCCATACTCGGATCACTCGTCCTTTGCAGAGCTGCGCGAGTTTGTGAAGTGGCTGAAACCCTGCTCCATCGTTCCCATTGTGAAGGGTGACATGTGCCAGGTTTACTTTCAGGAATTCCTGAGCTCTGCTCCCCAGGTACTTCCTGACTTCAAAGTCTCAAAGGCTGTGCAAGAGTCTGGACACTGGCAAAGCCGAAGGAGGAGGCAGAAACACACGAGTCTCTGGAAAAGAGCCCCATGGCGTTCTGTGCCCCAAGGGGTCATTTATGAGTCCCCAGAGAAAAATACTGAGAAACCTGAAACATTCACAGATGTTAAGGTTCTTCAGCACTACTGTGATCCAGCTCTCCGCTCCAAAGAAGGCTGCACTTGCCACAAGGGTGAGAAGGAAGAGCTGAGTGGGGAGCAGCCGGGAAGAGCAGGGGCAGCATCTGTTTCCAGTGAGCACCTTGCAACTAGATTTGCAGAGCAGTATTTGCTCACTCCCTTAAATATCCTAAAGCAGAATTCCTCACAGACATTTGATCAACTAGTAGAAGACTTTTTTAGGAAGGGAGACACACCCTGAAAAATAGTGTGACATTGCAGGTGCCAGTGCTGCAGGTAGCAGTGTTCTATCCTGCTCCATGCTCAGGTTTCCCATGAGGAGAGAGGAGCTCAGCTCTGGGACTCTTTACCTCTTTATAGAGGACAAAGAGGAAACTAGAACCAGATTTTAGATGGTACATCTTAAAATCTTATTTATTTTTTTATCTCTACATCTGCTGTGTCCCCACACTATGCTGGGAGCTGTGGTCCCACCATCTGTGTGCCTTGTCAGTCACCTTTCACGGTGACTTGCCTGTCCCCTCTTAGAAAAGTCAGTGAGAGGTTGATTCAAGCAGAACTGCAGAGGGTGTGAGGTGTCTGCAGCTGAGTAATTGATGGAATGTGATGAAAGGAGCAAGGGGGGAATCTGAGAGCCTCAAAGATTCTCCTTTCTGTAAGTCTGCGATACCTCACTAACTATGAGTTCATTCCAAAGTGAATTAAAAAATGTTCTGTATTAAGGTACTTTTAAAAAGTGCTGCCTAAAGAAATAAACAAAATGAAGTGCCTTAAAGTCCAATAATCTGTTTTCTATCTGTTAATCTACTAATACTTTCAGCTTTTGCATCCAGCCAGCCAACTGCAGCTGGATGTAGTCCTGCTAGCCTGAAAGTGCCATCTCAACACTAGTTATCAGTGCTTTTTCAGGTTTGTGGCTAGGAAAAGTAAGAATTGTCTGGGTTCTTGAGTTGTAGGCTTTGCAGAGTAGATCACTAAATCCTCTTCAGTGTCTGCACTCAGCCTTGCACCTCTGAATTCTGTTTGATTGCAGAGCACTCCTGGTAACTGCCAGTGTTCTGCCTTCCCATTCTGCCTGCTCTTGCCCTTCAGTGGCAATTGGAATGGGAGATAAGAAAACATCTGCTTGGTGGTGTGATCAGTCTGAGCAGCACTGCTTGGAAAGATTGTGACTGAACAGCAGAACTGTCTCTGTTAGAGGTTTGGCACTTTCCCACTCTGCATCAGCTGCAGAGCCCCACCCTGACAGAGCTGGGAAGTGTCTGTAGTGTGACAAACCAGTGGGTACCCACTACAGCTGACTGTGCCAAACAGCACTGCCAACGTTTCAGATTCGCCCCTCATATAGTCAGGGCAGCTGGAGTGGAAATGGTAACTGGACGCTGTCCTGGAATAACAAATCAATTTTTTCCTCAGCTCTTGATCCTCCTTTTGTTACTGTCTAGGCAAAATGTTTCAAAATTTTCTGAACATAGTGTCCTACAGGGCCTTTCCAAGCGGCAGCTAGATGGGTTGAATTCCCTAAATTGAGCCAGAAAATTAAGTTTGCTCTTGGAGTAGAGCCAGGCCTTGTGAAAATCAAAGGTGCCCCTGGATGCAGCAGTTAGAGCAGTTACAAACAGGGCTGTCTAGAACAGTGAGAGTGTTGACAGCCAGAGTGGGGATGTTTGGAGAGCTGTTTGTTTGGCAAACATGCATCCTAATTCCCAGCCCTGTGCTTTCCTAGGCATGGCAGTATCTATCCCTGTTACATAAGGAGTGCCTGTCCCTGGGACTGCTGTGGGCCCTGTGTCTTGCTGCTTGGAGTTTTCTGTGTGGATTATTTCTTAATCAAATTCAACTGCAGAGCTCTGTCAGGTGGGTGTGAGTGGAGACACCTGCACATTTTGTAACATGGAAATGATAGTGCTGTGCTTGTAGTGTGCTGGCTACTGCTGCTGCCTGGGAAATGCAGGCTATTATTTAAATATTGTTGAAATTCAAGTGACTCATTTGACAGGCAGGGGAGTGAAGCACTGCCTGAGCTCCCAAATTCCATGTCCTGCTTTGAGCAGCCTCTCCACTGCTGGGGAGGAATGCTCACCTTCTGAGTCACTGTTCCACTTGGCAAGTTGCAAATGACCTGGGAGATCTGATGTTTTGTGGCATCCAATCTTTCCTCTTTTATTCTTATCAACCATTTATTAAAGTAAATGGAGAACCTCCTGGTCAGCCTCTGGGCAGAAATGAATTGTAAATGGTAATTCTTTACGGAGGTAAATCTGAGCTTTAATCATGCACAAAGAAGTGAACATTGCAGACTTCAGAGTCTGGGGATCTGCATCCTATTTCTGTGTGTTCAGTTAAAGCTGCAGAATAGAACGCTGGCATCACTTTCTAGAGCTGAAAAGGTAATTCCTGCCACTTGAGGAGGGAATTATCCATCATGCAGAGTCAAGGAAATGTAAAATCTCTATTGGCTTTAAAAGGCAATAGAAGCAGGAGAGACTTGACTAACAGTCAGTTTGTTGGAGACCTTTGCCTCATCACAGCAGGTGCACAAGGCATTTTAGTGCCAAACATTTCTTTCCTGTAAGGTGTTTAGGATAGCACACAAAAGTATTATTTAAAAGGCTGGAAAATAAAATGTGGCCTTATGGGGAAAACTGGAATTGCTGACTGTTGGAGCTTCTGGACATCCTTCAGCTTCCCATAAAGATGGGTTTAGTGATGGGCCTGGCCATGCTGGGTTAATGGTTGGACTCTGTGATCTTAATTTAATTTTCCAACTTAAAAGATTCCATTAAGTCTCCTGGCAGTGAATATTCAGCCTCTCACAGGCCTTGTTCTCCCTTACACTTGTCTCCATGATTTCCTATTTTCCTGCCCCCCAGCCTGTCTCACCGGGAGCAGCTGAGAGCTGGAGTGTCATGGAGAGCAGGCTCTGAGCCTCCTGCTCCCAGCTCACCTGCACTGCTGCCCACAGGTGTGTTTTGCTCACAACAGTGACAAAGAGGAGCTGCAGCCCAGTATTGGCTTCACTGTAGGGGATCTGAGGGCTACATGCTTGGAAACTTCAGTTTTCCTGGCAGGGAGCAGAACGTGCTCTGAGCAAAGTCCTCCCAAATCTATACACACACAGCATGCTCCAGCTGCTTATCTCTGCTCCACAGTTGGGAACCAAGCCCCAGTGGGGGGAAACAGCTCAGCCAAGGCCTTGCAGAGGAACAAGGAACGAGCTGAGTTCCCTTTGGCAAGTTTTCAGTAATGTTTTACCAAGCTGTGATCAAATGCTGGCTTGTTGTGAGGGCAGGTTCTGGAGCAGAGCTGCCTGGCGAGGGTCAATCACTGCACTGTGAACAGCTCAGTTGGCTCTAACTTCTCTAAACACTAGGAAAGCATGAAGGAGTGCCCTGTTTATGCTGTGGAGAGGGGAAATTTACTTTCTAGGTTGTTGTTGGGAGGCTGAGGTAAAACTTGCCTGACAGAAACAAGAGTGTCACCTTGCAGGGAACACCCCAGAGTGCTGCTGGGTTGGGTTTCTGACTCTGCTTCCCCAATTACAAGGCCAAAGCTCTTCCAACAACTTCTCTCTTCCCTGCTGCAGAGTGGCTTTCTGTTCCTGCAGCACAGAGGCTTCTTTCCTAATTAAAAAAACTGCAATGGTGAAAGCTTTCCTTCACCAGAAAATGAATGAGTTTACATAATTACAGTGTGTTGTCACTTAGGGCTAATTCCAAAGCCTGAAATCTCTTTGTGCTTTTTTATGGAGTCCTCTGAAAAGGTATTAGAACATGTTGAAATGGTTGAGTCATCTTGATGATCATGTGAGGTGCTGCCTTCAAGTGAGCTCCTGTGGATGTTCTGTGGGTGTTTGTGATTTCTTCTGCTCAATTTGGGATGTTTGCCACGGCCACTGCTGTGCTGAAATTTTTCTGGCTGTGGCTTTGCCCTTGGCCAAACCCCAGCCTGAGGCACAAGCAGCCATTTGTTGTGCAATAAAACCTTTGTGACAGACCTTGACCAGGAGCCTCTTGAAGGCTGGGACTTCCTGAGCAGATGCTGGGGAAGGTGAGACTCATGTTCCACGCTGTCTTGGAGGTCACTGTGAGCCTGCAGTGAATTGTGCCAAGAGAGCTGAGTCCTCCATGCAGGACTGAGACCTCCCTGTCCAAGGTAGAGAGCTCCTTAACAGTGTTTTGCTGGAGGGGTTCATACTTGTGCTGCTGTTCATGTAAACAGGCAGCTGTGAGAGTATCTGAGGTTTTCCTACAATCACGGAATGGTCTAGCTTGAAAGAGACCTTAAAGATCATCAAGTTCCAAACCCTGCCATAGGCAGGGACAACTTCCACTATACCAGGTTGCTCCAAGCTCTGCCCACCCTGGCTTTAAACACTTCCAGGAATGGGGCAGCCACAGCTTCTCTGTGAATCTGTGCCAAGGCCTTACCACCCTCTGAATAAGGAATTTTTTTCCAATATCTAATCTAAATCTACTCTCAGACTGAGTTTTGGTATTTTGTAATTGTTATTTTTAAACGTTCAAAAAATCTTGTAAACTTTTGCAAGAAAGCCAATAAACATCTCTGTAACACTGACTTTGGAAAAGTCTGAATTGAAACACGGTGGAGTTCTTGAGTTGATGGTGACTGGAGTGGACTAATTCCGTTCTTGGAAGCATTTGACCTGGTGCCACCTCCCCGCTCCAGCAGGGCCATCCCAGAGCAGATGCCAGAGCAGATGGCACCGGCTCATGTCCAGATGGGTCTGGAATATCTCCAGTGAGGGAGGCTCCACACCCTTTTGGACAGTCTGTTCCCTCACAGGAAAGTTCTTCCTCACGTTCAGGTTGGAGCTTCCTGAGCGTCTATTCCTGCCCATTCCTCTGGTGCCATCGCTGGGACCCCGGAGCAGAGCCTGGGCCTTGCTCTGACTCCCAGAGCGCGGCCCGGCTGAGCTCCCTAGGCCCGGCACGGCCCAGCCCGGCCCGGTTGCCGGCGCTGTCCCGTTGTTTCCCGGCCCCGCCCCGCTCGGTCCCGGCCCGCCCCGGCGCTTCCTGCGGCCGCCCCGCCCCGCGGTCACGTGTGCGTTCGCCCGCTCGGGGCTCGGCTGGCTCGGCCTGTGCAGGCGCTTAGGGCCCGGAGCGGCGGCGGGAGCGTGGCGGGGCCGGGGGCGCTCGGGCCCGGGGCGGTGGCGGGACGGGGCGGGGGGAGCCCGGCCGGGCCGTGAGGGCGCGGCGGAGCCTGGCGGCGGCGGCAGAG